CCCCCCCCCCCCCCCCCCGTTCAGGGCCCAGTGTTCTCACTGTCACACCGCTCGGTGCCTAGCTCTGATACCATTTGTAACAGCCCAAGCCCACTACTAACAGATATTATCCGCTTCAGTCCACGTATCGTCATCAACCTCACAGTTTTATCTTCTAGAGAGAGATTTCAACACTCTTATAAAGAATGCTTAGTTCCCCTCTCCAACCGATGTGAGATCTCACATTTAGCTTGATAAAAGAACAACCAAACGCTCGGGGTAACATCAAATAAAAGCTATATATCAGCTAGAAGGTTTCTTTCAATTTCGTACAAAATAGTAAGAAAGTTACTATACCATTCCACATTCTGAATGACCAGCGATAAATAACACGAATCCCGGGTCGGGAACAAATTAGAGCAACACGAACCGTTCGTTTCAGTTAAAACACACCACCAAGGCAACAAACAGAACAATTTGTGGCTGATGAACAAATAAATAGGAACATTTTGCTATACACTAACTGGACAAGGAAGCTAAGAACAGCAAACCTGAAAGAGAAAATACTGGCAGTGATCATTGGTAAGCATTTGAGAAGACTTAATAATCTGATGTAAATCAGTATCCATCAGCTCATAAACCAAGTAAACATCTTTGAAGCTTCTCCTATGGATAGGCATCATCACATCTTTCAAACATATGACGTTTTCGTGCCGAAGATGTCTAAGGAGCTTCAATTCACGCAACGTTCGGAGGGCATCGATACGATTCTCGAATGCATTATGTATCCTCTTTATAGCAACTTTCTCATTGGTTTCCCTATTCACAGAAGAACACACTATGCCATATGCCCCTCGCCCAATAGGCTTGATGGGTACATATTTAGTATCAATCTCAAACAATGTCTGCCACATTGAATAGTAATGCTTTCCTTGAGATCTAACCCCATTTGGAGGCTCAACTGGGGTCGCCATACACTGGAAATCAAAGGAAAACTAACAGAATTTACTTCCTAAATAAACAAATCTCTATGAATACTAAACAAAACCAGCAAGAACATGATTATGCAACTATGAACAGCTAGAACGAAGCTCAACAAAACCAGACAGATGTAAGGTACAACGTCAGAACAGACAAGGAACACTCGTGTCTAAGTGAAAACTACAGAAACGAGCTAAGTTCTTACCAATCACCACTTGTTCTCAAACGAGCAAAGTTCTTTCCAGAGAAGAAACGGCAGCGAAGTCCTCGTTCTTAGTTCCCTGCTACATCACTTTCTCGTACTCGCAGCCACACAAACTCCAAGCATGAAACAAATTACCCCAGCTCAAAATTAGGCCCCAAAACATAGAATCAGAAGGAACAGAAGAACCCCAAGTGGAGGAAGGGGGAAAAAACCCCTAAATTAACAGAACCCCAGCTCAAATTTGAAGCAGAAGAGCGTGGAATCGAGTGATTTGAGAGCGTGGGAGTATAAATTCTTGCTAATTCGATCGGGTTTTCAAATGGGTCGCCGTCATCTAGGACTGCAAATGATATCTCATGGGTTCAAATTGAGCCCCATGCGCTGGGAAGGAGATTCGCTCTCGACCGAGGCAGCTGCGATAAGGACATGCGTGTGGCTTGATGGATAGCTTTCACGCGCGCGGGTTTTGATTCCGCCTTCATTAACTCATGTAATTTGGTATCCAACATAATCAATGCTCTTGATTTGGATTATTACCCTCTTCTTCATGGGACCCATTTTCTTTACACTGATATCGATATGGATAAAGCTAGATTTTTACCTTCCCGATTCCCTCCACCAATTTCTTGTTCAACTTTTTTTTTGGGAATAATTGTAATTTATACGCTTCTTTTTTTCTTTTCTTTTACTAGATTATAAAATATAGCCCTTAATTTTTTTAGAAGGGCATCAGCTCACGCACTCTCGCCATTGTTCTTGAAGGTTACTACCCCTCTATCGGATGCCTGAGGGAAGGCGGCCGGAGGGTCATCGTCGGAGTTTGATTCGAAGCTTTGAGGTGGGCTGTGTTTTAGTTGTTAGACGAATACGACTCTCCACAATGGTATGATACTGTTCACTGACTCTCCACAATGGTATGATACTATCCACTTTGAGAATAAAGCTCTCATGGCTTGACTCTCCACAATAGTATGACACTGTCTACTTTGAGAATATGCTCTCATGACTAAGCCCTCGTGACTTTGCTTTGGGCTTCCCAAAAGACCTCAACTCGAGAGCTTATTTTTAGATTATAAACTTATGACCATTCCCTAAATTAACCAATATGAGACACTTTCATCCAACATTGAACAGTGGACATGGGTCTGATGTGGCTTATTTTGATTGGTTGACAAAAAACACGTGGACTCCGGTCATTTTTGTTTAATTTTTTGGTTTGGTTTTCTAAAAAAATTAAAATTTTATATTAAAAAAATGTCAAATTAATGTTATTATCTAAAAACTATATAAGAGCATTAGGATTAATTGTAATTATAATTACACTCTCTATTATAGTTGCAATTAAATACGAAATATTACTCAATTTAATGAATACAATTATTCCTCATTGGTAGTTACAAGATTATTATTAAAAATATTTTGTCATCTAATTAATTTAATTTAAGAATTTGTTGTCTTGGAATTGCCACGTTTTACTTTATCGATAAATGAAAATTTTCAATATGTGACGTGTAATTTTCAAAAATTTTACCATTTAACCTGTAAAAATTAATTAATAAATAAATAGATTTAATGTAATATGATTATAATTGTCTAAATAATTAAAACCAATAATTTGATTTCTGGGCCACTGGGTCGAATATTTTAACGGGCCGTCCAGTTACAAAAAGCCCAAATTTCTTTCCCTCTTACCCCATCGGCAGCCATTTCACGGGCCATCTTAAATCTGAAAAGCCCAATAAACTGTTGGGCCGTGGGCCCATATCAATTGGGCTTAGATCCAATTTGGATTCATCCGGAATATGCATGTATCCAACCCAACTAGAAATGTCCACGAGTCGGGATAAGACTTCTCCATCCCTACCACTTATTTCGTTTATTATTATTTTTTTAAAATAATTAATAAAAATTTCTAAAAAATCAATATATTTCATAAACAAATATATATAAAATCTTCTATTATTTAAATTTTTAAACATTCAAATTTTAATACTACAACATAGTTTTTAAAACTAAAAAAAATATAATATTACATTTCAAAATTAATAATAATAATAATTATTGTTTTTTTTTTTGTAATATAGCCAATTATTATATATTATTTTGAAAATATATTTATATTAAATCGTGGGGAATTAGTGGTCCCCACCCCATTTATCTCATAGAAGATATTTACTACGCTCTACCAGATTTAAATTAAAAAAAAATATATATTTATATTAGTTTTAAGATAATTTTATATAGTATATTTAGGAGTGGTTTTAGAATAAGCATTTTTTGATTAAAAAATTATTATGTTTATTATTCGTGTTTAATTATAAATATTTTAATGTTTTGTTCCATATTTTAAAAAGCGATAATGACACTATTAATCATGTTTTTTTGAATTAACGTCGTTTAAAAATTGTAAATATTGGGTTCGTAAATAATTTGAAAATAGATAAAATATTAAAAATATTAAAAAGATCACTTACAAAACCTTATGTATTTAGAAGTAAATAAAAAAGGAATTTACAAAACCTTGCATTATCGATAGCTACGATTTTGGCGCGGCGGGTTGTGTGTTACATTCTACCCTCGAACATCCTCTGTGTTCGCCGCCAAGAATTTCATTGATCCATCGACTAAAAGCTTTTGCGTGTTTGCGTGGTTCCGAAGCAACGAGTCAATTCAAGTCCAGTCCAATCTAGTGTTTCTGCAGCTGTTTTCTCCCTACGGTGGCCGGAAGTTAGGGTTTCCGGTGTAGCTTGAAGCTGCTCCGCTTCCAACCCGGTATTCTCTTCTCTTCTGGATATTCATCAGGTAATTCATCTTCCTTACCTAATTGTTCCCCCTTTTTTGGTTCCTTGATTGCTTGCGGCGGCAATGATTTATGGGTTGTTTTAGGATTCGTGGAATGGGTTGTCTTTATAGTGAGAATGGTTCGAATCTGAAATTTTGGGGGTTTTCACTAAAAGTTATTAGCTTGTAATTGGAGTATTTAGACAACCTTTTTTTTTTTTTTTTTTTTTTTTTTTAATTTTTT